TAATTAAAACTTTAAAAAAATAATTTGACAGAACCTAGAACCTCTTTCATTATTGCATGAGGGTATACTGGTTTTGTTCAGAGAGCATCACATATTCCTGTTTCATATTTTTCATTTAAAATCTCAAAACCAATTACAGTCTCATAAGGTCACTAAATTTTCCATTTAAATGTCTTTCAGTGCAAAACTAAATTTCAATCCCCTCCATACCTCAGGATGACTGCTTTAATGCACTGAACTGTAATGAAAACCAACAGCAAGAAATAAAGAAGATTCTTGTATGGTCATGTAATTTTTCCTCAAAATGAAATTCATATCCACTAAAGGCACTTTGAGAACATCAACAAATCAACCTTTAACAGTGTTATTTATAATCAGATTAATCAGACCTTCATACAATGCACAGGAAAGCAAACACTAAAAAATCAATTTAATATATAACTGTCACTTTCAAAATCTGAAATCATGAATTTTCAGGGATCTTGTTGTGTTCACCAGGCAAGACGGGTGTGCTCCTCTTTCCACCAGAAGAGAATTCTTTTATCTTCTTGGCTTCCTGCAATCCTTCCAGCCAACACAGTGGATCAATTCTTGGGCTTTTGTTATGTGGATAAGGAACTGGGTAAAAGGTTTCAAGACTTCAAGAAGTGAGTCAGTCAGTATGGATTAATGTTGACTCTGGAAAGGGGAGCAAATGTTGCACATGAAGGGAAATGAAGGCTGAAAGATGGAAATGAAAGAGAACAAGGGAGGCAACAGACATGCTGAGCTGTCTCTGGGCTGAATTCCAGCTGGGAGTTGAGTGAGGGAAGGGTTTCAAGAGACTCCTGGAAAGTACACCGTGTGTGTGTGTGTGTGTGTGTGTGTGTGTGTGTGTGTAACTGCTGGAAAAAAACCCCACGGCCTTCTGCACACTAAGCATGTACTCTACCACTGAGGTACACCCAGAGCCCCAGGATATTTACAGCGATACCTTGGTTGTCAAACTCAACTCATTCCAAATTCGTATTCAAACACCAAAGAGTTTGAGAACTGAACATATTTTTTTCCCATAAGAAGTAATGGAAAACCAAATAATTGGTTCGGAGGCCCAAAAATTACACTTATAAATTAATTTTTCCAGGATGAAAAACATGAGAGTTACAACAAAATAGGACTTAGTAGTGACTCACTATCCCTCCCGGATATCTGGTGGGTTCCAATAGTGCAGACCCTGAAAAGAAACCACTCATTCAAAGCCATGGAGGTATGTTTTTGGGACGCATTTCTCCTTTTATTTATTGGTTTTGCGGGGTTTGGGTTTCTTCTTTATTTTTCTGTTTTTCCTTCTTTGTTCTTTTCTGTTATGTTTATCTAAATCTATTAATTTTTTTATTCAATAGGATCCTTTATCTCAT